TATATATATATATGCGTTGATATTGTCTTGAATGTGTGTATATATATATATATATTATATAATACGAAATATTGAATCTGATAGGTCTTAAAAATACTTTTCTAATCTGTTTTTTTTTGTATACAATGAAATATCTCTTAAAAGCTAAATACTTTCTTACAACCTTGTATCGCGTTTAATTTGTTGTTGTTGTTGTTTGTCGTTATATTTTTTTTCCATAATTTTGTCTCTCGTGACTTACTTTTCTTTATCTTTTCTTTTATTTTATTTTTTTCTGTTTCATTATCACCGTTCGTTATAATTTTAATAAGTTTTGTTACGTTTTCCTACATTCTTTCTTTTTCTTATTCTTTTTTTTTCTTCTTTTTTTTTTTAATTTTTCATAGCACGAGAGAAATAATAGTAACGCATTAAAGTTATTAAAGGAACGGCGAATTAATTCATCTTAAAAACGCAAATGCGACGACGATTATAGAGGCAATTATTATTGTCGATATTGACGTATTTTTATTAGCGTCATTTGCATTTCTTTGGGATCTGTAACCAGCATCTACCACGTGTATTTTCCAACCGAGATTGTTGTGCGTATAACACTGAAATAAAAGCAAAATATTTGTAATATAATATTATATGATTAAATAACATCTTTTTATAATGTTATTTTATCATTTATCATTTATACAATTTGTAGATATTTACTTGAAAATTTTTTTAAGATTTTTTTAAACGTAACTATTATTATAAAACAAAAATTATATGACTTTTTTACGATTAGTATTATTAAATTATTTATATGTGTAATTTTAAAAAATTGTACCTGATAGTATAATAAATCAGGTGCATCTTGGGGAACGGTCCATACGAGTTTGGAAGGATCACCAGGAACACATTCCAGTCTCAATGTTTTGAAAAATATTTGGAACGTTTCTGATTCTTTACTTTTGTCAATTGTTTTATGAACCCATTCGCAATAACGACCAGCTGCAGTTGGATAAGGATAGCCATCACTATCGTAGTCTATACCTGCGAACACTCTTTGTTGCTTTTGTTGAGCTTCCGATTTTTGTCCAAAACCACCTTCAGGACTATCCGTTATGTAAAACGGATGATACCTATTGAACAAATTCAAATCAAATTTTTAATTACATTTTTTCATAAATTAACTTGTTGGTGCATCTCTTTTTTTTATTACTTGGCCGGATTAGCAGGATCGTTTCCACCTTCTACGATAAATGTATATGTTTGTCCTCTTTCCACAGTGATCTCTGGTATTAATAGATCATTTATGTACCATGCGATACCCCATGAAACTTCACCTGTTTGAAAAATTCATTTATTAGAATTAGTTATATGGGATATATACTTATATACATATGTTTGTAATTTAAATTATATTTTTTACGATCCTGTATCTTTTTTTCGAGTAAAAAATGTGTTAGTTATTATTTAATTTATTTTATCAATAATATACAGGGCGTTTTTATATAATGCTCTAATATATTATTATTATCTTTACAATTTAGAATAAGGACGTTTTAAAATTTTTTGCCAGATATAAAATTTCTATAAAAATTTCTTAAAAAGTGTGTATAATAATATATAATATATTACAAAAATCATTGTATTCTAACTGATTCGATTTAAATAATAACAAAAGAAAAGAAAGGATAATTATGAAAAATATTTTGGATGATAACAATGTGAATATAAATAAAAGGAACAACGTTGTAAATATGAAATTTTGTTTTTAAATATTCCTTATAATATTTTGTTGTTGTCTATATCAAAGATATTATATTACAGTATTATACTCGAAGAAAAAACTTTTGAGGGATAAAAGAAAAAAAGTTAAGACCCCTTGAGGATTGGTTCTTTTAACAGAGTAATATGATATAGTTTGTTGGTTTACCCGTTATACGGTAATATCCTCTAAGTCCACCGGTTGGTCCAATCCTAGCACTGAAGGTATCTACATCGTTGATCACGGCTTGTGGCCAGGGTTCAATGTCAGGCATGTCTGGCGTGTTGTACAGGGAATTAGTACACTCGTGGACATTTTTCGACGTAAAGTCGATACGTATATCCCCTGTAGTCTTGTCGAAAGCCTGATGAGCGTTGGCTTCTCCTCTTGAATTGAGAGGACCAATAGCAGCGATCACATTAGTCTCGGATTCAGGGATCATCCTGTCTTTTACGGGTTCGTTCGTGCGTAAAGGTCTCATATACGTTACTGTAATATTTTTTCAATTGATCAATTGTTTGCTACCCTCCTTTTTTTTTTATGTGAAAAATAATAATAATAATAATAATATTTATTATATTATATTAATTTTATAATTTTATTGTAACAAAATAATCAATGTTTCTTCTTTTACTCTATTATTTTAATTTTTTTTCTTTTCTTATAAAAGGAAATAAATATATATAGTGGTGCGTTGGGTTACAATAATTGAAATTTAATTTTTATTTATGTATTAAAAATAATATTATTATTATTATCATTATTATTGTTTGAGGAAAATTGTTAGAATACCTGTCGTGATACCGTTTCTTCTATCACCGTGCAACAATACCGCATCGTTTTTGCCACCGACCCTTTCGTCAGGGCAGACACCCTTTTTCCCATCGCATTGAGAAAAATCAGACATGTAATAGTCCTCGGCAATGTATTTTCCTTTTTTCTTGTCGTAAGCTACCACAACTACGTCGCCACCAATCATTTCGGATTTATCCTGACGTCCCGATAGACCAAATGCCACGTATTGGTCCTCGTTGATACGACCTGAAACTTGAATCTGCACGTCCTCACCCATCAATTCCCATTGAACTTGTACACGTCCTTCCAGAAATTCCTTGCAATTGCTTAATTCTTGTTTAGACGTTGCTGGCTCCGAAGTACTGCTCGTCTACACAACACATGAATAATTCCATTCGCATAATTAATTTGTGTATTTTGTTGAATATATTATTTGTGAGAACAAGGACAATGTGGATAATGATTATTATTTGTAATATTGGATTTTAGGATCAATGAAGAATGATTATATTATTAATCTTTTCAAAAGATTAAATATTAAAGATATAAGGATAAAACGATCATTTTTTAAACGGCAAAAACAGAGAAAATAATAGATAATAAAACGATGAGCGATTATGTCGAAAAAGCTAAAAATATTAGGAAATGGGGTGGTTGGGGGGGGAAAGGGTGATATTTATTGCGTTAGTATTTTCTCAAACATTTTTTGATTTGGTTTTGATTTTTTTCTTTTTAATATAAATGGTTGGTATCAATATGTAACCATGACCCAACTATATTTTTATTATAAATATTAAAAGAAATATGATGTATAAACACTAAATTAAATATTCATAGATACCGTGACCCTTTTTTTTTGTTTTTTTTTTTTTTTTTTTTATAAAATACCAACGACCCTGGTCAATATCTGTAATAAAATATTAATATGCGATACTGAGATGCAACTTTGATCCT